GGCTCCTCAGAGGTAGTTGGCTCCTCAGAGGTAGTTGGCTCCTCAGAGGTAGTTGGCTCCTCAGAGGTAGTTGGCTCCTCAGAGGTAGTTGGCTCTTCGGATGAAGAAGTGGTAACCTCAGAAGAAGAAGACTCAGACTTAGAAGACTCAGACTTAGAAGACTCAGACTTAGAAGAGGACTCAGACTTAGAAGAGGACTCAGAGGACTCAGAAGAAGAGTTCACAGAGGCACCGGCATTCTTACAAACGCCCTCGAAGCTCTCGTAAGCTGTGTCCGCGTTGTCGTTTGGACAGATAGAGTTCAAACAGTCCTTCATAGCAGACGAGTCATCCTCACAGATACAGGAGATGTCCGCCAACTCGCTACAGGAGTCGGATGCTCTAACAACTTGCGCAGCACAGGCAAGAAGACAAGCTGGAGGAGTAGCAACAACGGTAGAGGCCAAAAGAGCAATAGCAGCAATGGAAGATGTGTACATGTTGTTCAGTTCTCTCAGATGAAGTAAAGCGAAAGTGGACTCTGTTTGCTTGATTGAAAGGGAAAAAACAAACAAAGATCGAAAATATAAACAACACAAACAGTGCAAAGGAGAAAAAGGATGATACAAACCAAAAAGAGATTCGAGGATTTGTTTACTTCGCAGAACGTCCGCCTCTTCAGAGTCTCGAAACAGAATTAAGCTTTTTTTTTTCTTTTTTTTTTTCTACTTTTTTGGCCTGGACTTTGTCTTCCCGCATATCTGTGCTGTTAAAACCAGACCCGAGCTGCCTTGGGCATCCGCTTTCCGTATACAAAAATAGAAATCGTACTGTTTTTCTTCGGCACTTTTGTTCTGGACACGCTTTGAAAACAAACGCTAGGCCCACCGCATTTTAGCCTAGACATGGTCAGCGGCGGTCCCAGAAAGTGGGATGGCGGTTACCCTGTTTTGTTTGTTTTGTTTGTTTTGTTTGGCGAAATGTATCAGAAAACAACAGACGCGCACAGGATGATTTCCAATTTCGAGGCGCCTGCACGTGACTCCCACGGGAGTCAGTTTCTGGTAAACCCGAACACCTAAACATCTCTACACCACGGCGTCGTGCTTGTTTTCGCATCTCCTCCCCCTCTCCCTGTTTATCTCTTGTTTACCCGATTCGGTCGAAATTGTGCTCGCACACGGTAACTTCGCGGGACTGGGGCGGACGGGCCTTTTTGCAAAATTTACCAGGACAAAAGCTCCTAAGCCAAAAAATTGAACCTCGACGCGTCTGGAAGAATTGAGCTCCATAGTAAAACAGACATTTGCTGTTGTATCAGTGGGAAAAGTCATCAGGAAAGTTCAATTTGCGACTTGATAAGAGACCCATCTCACAGTGTCCACAGAACTGCTCATAGCTGTGCGTTCTGCTATTTATCAACAAGTCTGCTGCTTTGCTTCTTTGTGAGGTGTCTTTTTTCCCTCTCTGTCTCTTTTCCAGCCCTATCTCTCAACAAGTTCAGTCTTGTCATAGGGCATTGGCCATTGTACTGCTCCACTTTGATTATCAGATCATTCCTGACATTGCACTCACAGTCGAGAAACATCTCAAGAGGTGACGGAAATGACAGACAATTTGTACATTGCCACGTACTCAAATGTATGTATACAAAAAACGATGGCACACTTGTGCACGCCCCTCGTCGCTTTCTCTCTCTATATGGAGGCCCTCCTTCCACGGTTGTCACCTGTCGAGACCTGTATTAACACAGCACTAACTTGACCCCCCATAGATTGATGTTTATGAATGCTTCATAGATGATGTTCCCTTAATGAGAAGATGCTCGGATGACTGGGTGAACGCTACTCAGATCTTGAAAGCTGCGAAGTTCCCAAAGGCTCATAGGACTAGGATCCTTGAACGCGAGGTCCAAACAGGGGTACACGAGAAGATCCAAGGTGGGTATGGTAGGTTCCAAGGTACTTGGATTCCCTTGGATATTGCAAGACCGTTGGCTCATAAGTATAACATTACTGATGCGATGGCTCCGATATTGAGCCATGTTCCTGATCCAAAGAACCCTGTTCCTCGTAAGACAAAGAACGTTACCAATAAGATGAGTTCGTCGACGAATAACGCATCAGCACCAAACGCGTCTTCAACGGCTTCACGCCAGGGAACAGGGTCTCCAGGAAAGAAACCGAAGAAGGTTTACAATACAAAGAGAAGACGTGCCGCAGCGGCAGCGGCAGCTGCCGCCGCAGCAGTTGCCAATGGTAGTTATGACCCAAATGTTAACCATCAACAGCTTCAAACACCACCTCAGAGCAGACACCAACAACAGCAGGGTCTACACCCACAGCATCAACCGATCCCTGTTCAGCATGTACCAAATGGGATGATACAAGTTGGTCTTTGGCAACATATGAATGGTTATCAACAACAAGTTCCTCAGATGGCAAATTTTGCGAATCCACACCGTCAAGCTGTCCACTATGCTCAACAACAACAGCAGCAACATCCACTTCAGCATCAGCAAATAGCACAGCAACAACATATGCAAGTGTTTGGACAAGCGTTACAGGTGCCTCAACAACAGATGCAGCAACAGACTTTCCCCTATCAGCAGCATAAGACCAAAATATCACAAGAGACATGGTCCCAGGATGATGCTTCGATACATATGGATGAAGTCATGAGAGACTCGGATACTTCAATCTCCTCAAACGAGGAACATTCAGGGTATAAGAGAAGTAAAGCCATCTACATGGATGCACTGATTCAGTTCTTTGCTACTGATGCAGAGAAGATCCCACAGAATCTGTTAAATCCCCCATCGGATTACGATTTCAATGAACCAATAGACGAAGAAGGTCATACACCATTGCACTGGGCTGCGTCGATCGCAAGTATCCCACTTATCGAACTCTTGTTGAGACACGGTGCTGATCCATTGACGCCAAACGCTACTGGACTGAACTGTATTTCCAGGGCCATTTTCTTCAACAACTCTTATCAGAAACACAATTTCCATATCATTGTCAATCTTATGAAAAATTGTCTATATACACCGGACAAAGCTGGAAGAACACCGATGCACTATCTCTGTGAAAGCATTCGCTCAAAGCCTGAAACTGCTTTATACTACTTGTCTGCAATCTTGGATCAACTGAGAATGGGTAACAAGGATTTGTTAGAGATTGTTGTCAACCATACAGACGTTAATGGTGACAGCGCAGTTTCATTAGCTTTGAGAGCAGGGAACGATGCGCTGGCTACTATCTTGGAACCTTATTCTAATAAGAAGAAGGTGTCTGTGAATAACTCCGACGTTGAGGCTGTAAAGGACGAATCACCGGAAAATGAAGAAGGGGATGATAATGATAGGGTGCCCCTGCAACAGGACAATGAAGAGCAAGACCACCCTGGATCTCCCTTGAGTTCAAGTCTTCCGAAAATGCCCGTGAAGGAGGTCGGTCCTATGTTATCCTCTATGTTAAGCTCTTTAGCAGACGCGTATGATACAGAGTTGAAGAATAAAGAGGAGGAGAGTAGTCATACCAAAACAATATTGGATAAGCTGAAACAGGACATTGAAACTACTGAACGTCAAAATAGAGATATTCTTGTACAAATCGAGGAAGGAATATCTCTTGATGAGTTGTTGAACAACATTGGGGAATTGGAAGCAGTGTTCAACAAAAAGAGTGCACACCTCGGCAAAGTGCTGGAGAGATCACAGGCTCTGGAACTTGCACAAGCTGTTTTAAGCGAGGAGAACTCTATAACCGACCCAGTAGTAGCAGGGGATGCAGTCGCACTAGGGATTGAACTTACACGTCTCCAGATGGATCGTACGAAAGTTGTCAACGACATAATGGAAGCGTTAACGAAACAGAACATTAGTAAGAAGATGAATAACTACAGAAGACTGATATCCTTGGCTTGCGACATCAAACTGGAAAGTGTTGATGAGCTCATCGATGAGATCGAAGCAGACCTTCTAACCACCGTGGAGTGAGAAGAAGCATCGCCCTGCTAATAATATACAATGATTTTATCATGATGTTGAAGGCTCATCGTATTGCACATAGTTCAACACTTACTGTAGGGGCCTGTTGTGGTGTACGGGTGTGTCCCCATACCAAATATCCAACGGTTTTTTTTTTCCGCTCTGCTCATCGCAGATTTTTTTTCTTGTAACAACAATTCGAATTCCCCTTCTGTTTTGTTTTATACCTCTGTGTACAAACACTAGTGGCTCAATGTCTGCTATAAATAACGCCTTCGTTACTACGCTTGAAGAGACCTTGCAGCAGGCTACTCAACCTGACTCCCGAGTCATCAAAGCGGCAACAAACAAGCTTAACAATGAGCTTTATGTCTCACCAGAGGCACTGCCTTCTATGTTGTACATTCTCCAGAGTAACGGTTCTGAACAGATCCGTATGCTTGCCTCTGTCGAGGGGAGAAAACTTGTTGACAAGCATTGGGATGCTTTGGACGTGTCCACCAAGCAACAGATCAAGGAGAATGTTGTTGTGATTGCGTTTTCCGAGGCTTCCAAGGCTATCCGTCATCAAATTGCTCATATCATCTCTGCTATCGCCAGTGCTGAGTCTGAAGATGGTAAGCCATGGTCCGACTTGGTTCAACTTCTTGCCACAGCCTCAACAGATGACAACAATGTTCCAGGAAAAGAGACTGCGTTGTTCATTTTGGTGTCCCTCTTGAAGACCGGCATGCCAGAGTTGGCCCAAGGAATCACCTCTTTCATCGAACTATTCTCCAAGACAATTCATGATCCATCATCTTTGGAAGTTCGTGTCCAATCCCTCTTTGCTTTGTCAAATGTTGCTGAGATTGCTGATGAATTCATTGACTCTCAACCTCAAGTTGGAGGATTGTTCAAGGCTACTATCCCAGCCATGGTTGACGTTCTTAAGGATGTGATGGCTGCTAATGACGATGAAAACACCAAGGAAGTTTTCAACTGTTTCAATGACTTCTTGATGTTGGACGCCAAAATGCTTGGTGATGACATCATTGGTTTATTGCAAATCATGATTGAGATCTCCGCCAATACTCAAATCGATGAAGAGATTAGAGGATACGCTCTTAAGTTCTTGTTATCTGCTGTCAATTTTAGAAAGAACAAGATTTCGTCGAAGAAGTTGGGTAAGGATATTACCCTTGTGGCTTTGAAGATTGTTTCCGAGCCTGTTGATGCTGAGACGGAATTGGAAGACGACGACGATGATAACGAGAACGAAGAGTCAACCCCATCCCGCTTGGCACTCAGATTGATTGATGTTGCATCAACAGTGTTGCCATTATCTCAAGTGGTAGGAACCATCTTTGAGCAGCTCCCACACTTGTTGGAATCTTCAAACCTGTTCGAACGTAGAGCTGGATTTTTGGCCGTTGGTTATGCCGTTTCTGGTGCCCCAGACTTTTACAGTACTAAACTCGACAAAATCCTCACTGGGTTGGTTGCTGGCTTGAAGGACACTGAGATCTTGGTTAGACTGGCAGCCTTGCGTGCTCTTGCTATGTTGATCATCGACCTGAAGGACCTCATCTCTGTTCACTACGAAACTCTTTTGCCTTTGATCATCGAGATCATCGACTCCGCTTCCAATGTTACTATCTACAAATATGGTTGTATCTCATTGGATGGTCTCATCGAGTTCATGTCGATCGAAGGTATCACTAAGTATTTGGAGCCATTGATGAACAAGCTCTTCCACATGCTTCAAGTCACAACCGAGAACCCAAAACTCAGAGCAATCATCGTCTCTGCTATTGGGTCAACCGCGTACGCTGCTGGTACTTCATTCATCCCATACTTTGCCAAGTCCGTTGAGACTTTACAGCCATTTATTCAAGATGCTGGAAATGTCGAGGGTCTTTCCGTAGATGATATCGAGCTCAGAGCCTTGACGTTTGAGAACATCTCTACTATGGCACGTGCTGTTAAGTCTGAATCATTCTCCCAAGTTGCTTCGCCATTAATTGATTCTGCATACGTTGCCATCACTTGCGACACCTCCAGATTGAGAGAAGCTGGTTACATTTTCATCTCTAACATGGCCAAGGTCTACGGTAAGGAGTTTGCTCCATACCTTCACAACATCATGCCACAGATTTACTCAACTCTGCAACAAGAAGAGATTACCTTTGGAGGTGAAGATGATGAAGAAGAGTTTGATGAGGCCAATGCAGAAGACCTCATGGACAAGGTCCAGGTGCGTACTGGTATTACATTGGAGAAGGAGATGGCTGCAATTGCCCTCTCTGAGTTAGCTTTTGGTACAAAGGAGCTGTTTGCTCCTTACGTCGAAGAGAGTGTAACAGAATTGTCCCAACAATCTGCTGACTCATACGGTATGAGAGAAACCGCACTTGCTAGCTTGTGGAAGGTTGTTGATGCCATGACTTCTACCGTTTTGGAAAAGAAGCAATATCCAAAGGGTATTCCTCAATCTTCCTATGTTCCTGAGCAAATCTCGGCTTTGATCCAAAAAACTAGAGATCTCTCTATTGAATCGCTTGCCAGTGAGTACGAGTTCAGTATGGTTTGCTCTGTTCTTGAAACATTCTCAAACTTGATCTCCAAATACGGTGCGATTATCCTCATTAACGATGGTGATTTGTCATCTTTGGAGCAATTGTGTAATGAATTGATCAGTTTGTTGAAGGGTGAACACCTGTGCCAATCTTTGGACGACGATGAGCTTGAGGAAGATGAGGATAGCTCTGAGATGGATTCATTGATCATCGACAGTGCTCTTGAAGTTTTGGTTGCCCTCTCTGAGGCTCTTGGAGCCGATTTCAACAGGGTTTTCGAGCCATTCAAGCCATTGGTTTTGACGCTTGTGAAGTCAAAGGATAAAAACAAGAAGGTTTCTGCAGTTGGTGCTATTGCTGATATTGCTGCAAATGTCAAGGAATCCAATCCTGATACCGATGAGATGTTGCAATTGCTTCTCACTTGCTTGCAAAATGACAAATCCATTGAGGTCAGAGGTAACGCTGCTTATGGTATTGGTATCCTAATCTTCAACAGTGCAAATGATTATTCTTCCGCATATGCAACCATCTTCAACTTACTCTCCAAGTTGTTGACAAAGGTTCAAAAGCAAGAGACCAGTGCAGCTATCGATGATGAAGAGACTCACGACGCCGTGAACAGAGCATACGCCAATGCATGTGGCTGTGTCTCCAGACTGGCCCTTAAGCAACAAGCATCCACTCCATTGAACATTGTTCTACCAATCTTGTTTGAACACTTGCCATTGCAAACTGCTTACGAGGAGTACGGCCCAATCTACGAGCTGATCATCAAGTTGTATCAAAATGGTAACGAGGAGATTGTTCCATACACTCCAAATGTCATTGAGTTACTGTCTCATGTCTTTGACAAAGAGCAGACCACAGATAAGTTGGAAAGCGAGTCTACTCTTGGAAGAGAGGAGAACATTGATGCTAGCAGACAATTCCAAGCCCCTGGTTCTAAGCAACACGTTGTTGAACTACTCAAGTTCTTGGAATCAAAGTTCCCAGGTACAGTCTCACAAAATGCTGTTCTGGCCAAGTACTTGTAAGGCAACTGCTGATGCCCAGTGGCGAGTCTGCTGCCATTGTCTGTGTGTATATTAGTGATCGTTTAGTTTATATCAATTATTTTCCTTTAGAGTCAGTTTCTTCGTAGCCCAAACTGTTGTTTGTTGACATCGAGAGGCTTTTGCCGCTGGTGATGGAAAAATAAACAAACAAACAATCAAAGCGAAGGAATGTATTTATACAATCAACAGAACGCTGTAAGGAAGCACTGGAACGTTAATAAACCTGGTACAAATGGCGGCCAACAGAGTCAAGCAAGATGAACAGAATCGTCAAGCGCTGCCAGAACTCACATTGACAAATGTGCTGGGAGACGTGAAGAATGTGGTACACGGTCTCATATTCGATCCTGATTATAACGTCATTGTATTCCCAGGGATCTTCCTCGTCGAGTCGCTGTTAGTAAAGGTGATTAGAGCTCGTGTTCCATACACAGATATCGACTATACGGCTTACATTGATCAGATTGAAATCATCAACTCTGGTGAACTCGACTATGAGAATATCTACGGCGTAACAGGCCCGCTGGTGTACCCAGCTGGGTTTGTAAAAATATACCAGGTGATGAATTGGATCACAAACGGGACCCAGGATATCGCAATGGGCCAGTTGGTATTTTCATGGCTTTACTTGCTAAATCTGTTCCTTGTGCTGGTGATCTACTTCAATCTGGGCGTGAAGCCATGGGTCGGCGTTCTGTTGATGTTGTCAAAAAGGCTTCACTCAATTTACATCCTCCGGTTGTTCAACGATGCCTTCACAACGCTTTTCATGGTTTTGATGGTGCTAGCATTACAATACGCAGGTCTTTACAAGAAATCAATGAGATCTTTGTCCAAGGTGTTGACGAATTTCATCGCTCCAACGTTCTTCTCATTGGCCCTTTCCATAAAGATGAACGCCCTGTTGTATACACCGGGGTTCTTGCTTATACTTTATTTTCTCAATGATGAGATACTGCTGTCACTGATGATACCACTCGCTGTTGTTCTGTTCTGGCAGTTGTTTATAGGCGCCAGCTTCTTGTTTAACGGGGCAACCATCAGAGAAAGTTATATCACAAATGCATTCGACTTTGGACGCCAATTCATGTACAAATGGACAGTGAACTTTCGTTTCGTACCAGAGGAAACTTTCAACTCGACATGTTTCCACAAGTCCCTACTAATAATTCACATATGCTTGCTCTTGTTCTTCCTCTTTACAAAATGGGTAACACCGAGAGTGATTTCAAAGTCAATTCCACAGTTCATCAACGATGCGGTACACATCTCAACAGAAACATTGGAGACTGGTCACATAATCCTCGACAGAGCTTGTGGACCCCGCTATATCGTTGGTGTTTTGGCCAGCTGCAATCTCATTGGAATCATCTGCGCACGCTCTTTGCATTACCAGTTTCTCTCATGGTACGCTTGGACATACCCATATCTTATCGGTTCAGCAAATACAAACATCGTTATTGGAGTTGCCCTCTGGACCATTCATGAGTGGTGCTGGAATGTCTATCCAAGTACCTTTGTTAGTTCGCTGGCGCTAGTAACCTGTAACCTGATTGTGTTGGGAATTTACTGGTTCAGCTCTTGTACTCCACAACCTTCAACACCTAGCGATAATTTACAAGAGCATTCGGATAACGAAAAGAAGACCAAATAATAATATACACAAATATACACATATATAACTATAAACCTGGGATTCCAATTATGGAAAACGAAAATAAAACAACAAAGTTTTCAACTTCAAGTCCAACACAAAGAAACAATGAACACACTTTTTAGGGCAAAGAATTAAACATGTGCTGGTCGTGTGAACTCACGACGAGAAAAGAAGAAAAAAGGAATGCTGGTGTTGAAACAAAACCAGAATCCAAGGAAAGGTCACAATCATGAGAAACGTAAGATGAGGAACAAGAAATCAAATGGTTTGAGCGTACGACAAAGAACACTGCAACAAACACTGCATCAAAATCACATCACAAAGGTCATTAAAACGAGTATAACATGTCCTGTAGTGGTGTAGAGCACATCATATGGGGACAACTACTCTGTAGCTTCCACGCTATCACGCCAATAACTGTCAAAGCTGGTTGTAACGTCATTACCATCCGTGTTCAAAAAAGTCTCCAAATTGAAGTTACCATCTCCAGAGATTTCATTTGAAAAATCTGACAGCGTAAATTCAGGATACATTTCATTAGGTAGAGATCCTCCGTTATCCATTAGATTACCAGCAACGTCTTGACCAAACTCCACCTGTGCATCATTTGGGCCATCAGGGTTTGTCAGCATTACATCGCCACTTGGTGCATTCTCAGATGTTGGGGGAGTAAGTTGTGACTGGTTGGAAGGTGTTGGTCCTTCATTGGAATCCTTTGACAGTTGATGGATTTCCTCTTTCACGGTAATGGAAGTGGAAGCGGTTACTGCGGTTCCAGAATTTGCCTTGGAAGCATTCGGAGCAGTTACCGGTAATGATATTGGGGGGTTTGGAGTCAATGGAGTTGTTGGAGTTGGTGGTTCAGAATTGTTAGCAGTAGTCTGTTTCTTTGACTTGCGTCTAGTTGCTGTTTTCTTTCTACCATTTGCTGTTGTTGTGGAAGTAGTGTGCGAGATCGAAGTTGACGCAGTTACAACTGGAAGAGAAGGTGAGTTGCTGTTCGAGGTAGCCGTCTTTTTAGACTTCGGTGGGGGCATCTTCTTAATGAATGTCTTCTTTTCCTCCTTCTTTGGTTCACTAAGCATTTTCTTGTTCTCCTTTTCTAGCAACAGAAGTTGCATCTGATAGTCATGTAAAGCGCTCGACCCTGTAGAGCCTTCCTTATCAGATTGAGGTTTCGTGTCCTCTTTGATGTCTGTAAAGGGAGAATTCTTACTCGAACCATTCTCTAATTTTTGTTTCTTCGAAGGACTTGACCGTTGTTGGCTTTGAGCTTGCGGTTGTTGCTGTGGATTACCATTTGCCAGAGGAGTTGGTGGACCATACGAGCGTGGTGGAGCTTTGAAATTCTGTGCTTGTTGTTGCTGTTGTTGAGGCTGTTGAGGCTGTTGAGGCTGTTGAGGCTGTTGAGGTTGTTGAGGTTGTTGAGGTTGTTGAGGTTGTTGAGGTTGTTGAGGTTGTTGAGGTTGTTGAGGTTGTTGAGGTTGTTGAGGTAACTGTTGTTGTTGCATGACAAACTGCTGCTGTCTCAAGTGATTCATCTGCATCTGGGCCTGAGCTTGAGCCCTCACAAAATTTTGAGGGATTCCACCTGGAACAACTGGAGTCTGAGCTGTAGCACCAGCTTTCTGACCTGCAAAGAGTTGGTTCTGTTGCTGCTGGAAGTGATGTTGTACCTCCTGTTGTTGTTGTGATTGGTGTAGTTGTTGTTGTTGCTGAGAAGGAACAAGGAAAGATCTCTCTGACTGAGCACCAGCCATGTGTTGCTGCCGCTGCTGCGCCATCACATTCATCATGTTATTCATTGGTTGCTGTGACTGCTGCTGTGATTGTGGTTGTAATTGTGGTTGTGGTTGTATTTGAGGTTGTGGTTGTTGTTGTTGAAACTGCTGATATGGATTTCCAAACTGCTGCGGTATCATCTGTGATTGAGCACCTACAGACGGGGCCTGTGCTTGAACCTGTTGTGGAGTTGGCTGTGTAGCTTGTGGTGTTGACTGTGTAGCCTGCGGCGTTAGTTGTGAAGCCTGGGGACCAGGCGTAGGTGCCTGTGATGGAGTATGGTGTTGTTGTGAACCTTGGGTGTGAATTTGAACACCAGGCCCTCGATGAGCTTGCTGTGGTTGTTGCTGTGATGATGGCCGTTGACCACGGGTTTGAAACGACATCTGAGGATACATTTGAGGTTGTTGTGATTGTTGTTGTAGTTGTTGCTGTTGCGACGCGGTTGAAGCACCCATCACCACTCCAGAGTTCATTCCCATACTCACGCCGATGCCCATATGCTGTGATTGTACTGCCTGCGTAGTTGAGTTGTGCAACGCATGCTCTTTGTGTTGTCTCAACAGCTGCATTTGGTAGTACTGCTGGGCATTATCCGACCCACCACGATGTGTTCTAGCGTTGAACACGTCCCAAAAGATCTGCCACCATTCGTACAGGAACCCCTGAGGAGCATCTAGCGATATAGCCAGAGGTAACAGCTCCTTCTGCGGAGCACGTTTGATAACTTTACTCGTAGGCGGTCCTTTAGGGATGTCCGCCTCCTTCATGAAGCTCCGTGCGGTTCGTGGTAAGGATGACTTGATCAAGAAATCATAGACATAGGCGTTCAGCAGTTGTTTAGAATTCGTCGACTTGAGGTCATTCACATAGCCGCCACTACCAGTCTCGTCCTGCTTCTGATGAGAGACTGGAGGAGCACTAGAGCCGCCCAGTTGTGAAACCGTTTGGGACAACGCTGCCGGCGGCGGTTGTCCGCCCTGCTGTTGTAGTTGATGGTGCGGATGGTTATTGTTGTTCATCGATAACGATATCAACATATACACACTGGTCACACACAATCAATAACTTAAGAGATCCAAAACTGTGGAAACCGTTCCTTGTTGTGGCTTTGGTGTTCTGTGTGTGTGCACTTTGTGCTTTTTTTGTTTTCTCTGGTGATTTGTTGTTTTTGTCGACCCGTTCACAAATACTTGAACTTCAGGGTTAAAAAAAGAGCTGGAATGGAAAAAAAAGAAAAATCCGCTGGCTGTGAGAAATTCTGTGGGAATTTTCGCAATGTGGTGCTGGAAATTGAATTTTGCAGATAACACCAAAAGGGCGAAAAAAAACCCAAACTCGCTCGAAGAACACACAGTAGATATAGGAGATGGGGTTAATTGGATAAGTGACGAGAAGACACAACAGCTAACACGATAATCTTCTTTATCTGACAATGCTATGCAGTCTTCTATACTTCGGGCTTGATCTTACCTCCTTTTGCTATTCCTGCTGATGAAATGGGACAGCCGAAAGTTGCAAACTTGTGGTAATGTTGAATAATGCGAGTGCCCTGTCTGTGCAATATGTACCGGGTTTTGTGCGTCTTTTGTGAATGTAGGCGAATGTTCTGTTTCACTGACAAGGAGTCAAGGCTGTCAAGAGAGAAGAGGCGAGTTGTTTTTATCTCTCTTCGATAGGAGTGAGAGCCTATTGAGATGATCTCTTTGGCGTTTGGTAAGGGGTGATCAAACCAATCCTTTTCGTCCTTTAAAAAGGTGAACGTGGTTTGTTATCTTGGTGAATTTTTTGTTTTGGCGCACCCTTTGTAGCGTGCTCTAGGCTCGTTTTTTTGTTTGTTTTTCCTGCTTTTCTTTTTCTTTCTCCTTTGAAATTTTATGCTGCGCTATGGGGGGGAGGGGGGAAGGGAAAAAAGAAATTACAGGCTGAACTTAGCACTTTGTTAGTGCAGAACACACGTTATTTCGCTTGTAGGTATAATGGTGTAGGAAGAGGAGGAAGATAGCGCAGTTGAGGTTGGTTGATTGCAAAATATCTTTAGTCTGAACTCACAGTGTTCTGTGTATACTTAGGTAGTTTTTTTTTCGTGTTGGTTTATGTCTACTGATCACCAGATATGTCCAGAATACACCTGTTAATGGTGTGTACTAATTTCGACATGGATCTACAATAGTTGTACGATTCAAAGGAGCCTAAACCGCATAAAAAGAAACTATCATCGTCGAGCCGACGAAACTTAATCCCTAGCACACAATTGTACACATTGTAGAGAAGTGCAGTGGTAGCGGGTACAAATGTTGTATAGCTAACAAAGACATACCTGATGGAGATAACAAAGCTTCACACGGTGTCGAAGTTAGAGATTAGTTTTGATGCTCGCCCCCCCCCCCCGCCTGAACTTACAGGTCCAAGTGTTCTGCATCAATAAAATCAGTTCTGGATGAAAAGTTCATTGTGCTCTCAAGCTTGTGTGGCGTAGTACCACACACAAGAACATTACATCGAACCATCTGAAATTAGCGTCAAAGAAGTCGACGACTTCTGTGAGTAGCACTTCTGTGCATAAAATTTCTCCTTCCCCGTACCATCAGCCGAAATGGTGTGATTGGTTGCACTGCTGATATTGTCCATGCTCATAAACCGAAGTTTACTCCTCAAGTCAAACTCTGTTGGTTGTAAGTGCTCATGTTGTGGATATGGTGCAAGCACAACTCAGCCTCTGTATTTGCTCACGATATCCTTAAATGATTGTTATGAACCGACCCTCTCCTCCTTACAGTACCATAACTAACTGCTCAAAATTGATCAGTGACAACGTATTTATGTGCTCGCGACGCTGACGGCTGTAGGCTATAGCCAGTTGAAATTGACGGATGAAAATTCTCTCGCCTTGAACCCGGACTACGTTGACACGGCATAATGCATATATATTGCTTGTTGAAACAATTTAGTAGCTAGCTTAAAATCCAGAGTTAGAAAGGCCCTTCAATGGGGTGGTTTAGACAGACATATGTTGATGTCACGGTGTACTATCTCAAAAGATAGGACTGACACAGCTCACTTCCACAGTACGTAAAGAGCCATATTAAATACCCAGTCTCCTCATAATATCAACAGGTGGTTATAAAAAGGACAGCCTGAGAGCTGGTCTTACCGATATGCAACGTACGAGTTAACTTATTCGGCGTTCTTGAGTTGTTCCGCGTTTGGCCCTACTTTGTCTTACACAGACAAAGCCTTCAAGGGAAGAAAGATGGGATCACCATTCGGTCAATTGGGAAACCATGGATACCAATCATATACGTCCATTAGTTGTTCAAACAAGCTACACTTTACTCAACTGCTCTACCCATAGCCAACGCACAACGTTGATCATGGCTAGTAGTCTGACAAAGAGAAACGAAACCAATCATGCGGCGAGGCCAAAGACACAAACAAAAAAAGAAACTCTATGTCGCCGAAACAGGCGCCTGAGGTCTCTAATCTGATTGGTCACTGTGCATTGCGAATTTGATCCATATGAGGTGTGGGTTTACAGGACAAATGGTCCCGTTTGTCCTCCAACATCCACTGTTATTATTAATCTTCCTAATGTATAATGCCTGGTTGGTATGTTTCTGATCACTTCATAGTGGAGGCTAATTCTCCCTCTCACTTATAGTCAAAACCGAGCGGTGGCGCACGTTTCGAGCGTCATTATCCGATTATGTATGGCAATCAACTAACCTTGTAGTGTAAAGTAGTTAATGCTTGACAATACGCTTCCTTTGAAGGCCAGCATCTTCTCTGCACCCAACTGTTTGGTTATAGGTATAATATGAATTGACCGGAAGGATCGTCTACAGAGACGAAGCGCACCACGTACTGTCATTTTGACAGGATCTACTGTCGAAGGATTGTTTTCTTTTCATGTACGCCTGAAGACACAGGTTATATGTGACAGATCATGCCAGTGGAAGTGTGGCACCTACAGACGGCGCCTTTTGGAATTTCGCGGAGAGCAAAGTTACACCCTCGGGAAGTTGCAGTTGGTTTGTAAGGCGATGAGAACTTGAAAGAGGTTGGAACTACAGCTAATAAGCACAGTTCTAAGTAAGTGGTGTAAGATTTGACGATATTATAATAATCTCTTCTGCTAGACGATATCCGCTAACAAATGGTCTCAAATACTATGACCAGTCTTCAGCATGTACTTGTGGATTGGGTCAGCAGATGTGGAGTAAACCTTCAATTGACGAACCTCATCGTTTGAGATAATCTCTCTCAATCTCATATCCTCGTCGTACCACGTGTGGATGAGATAGACGAGCTCATTCTTGAAATGTTCGTTCTCAACGTTGGTGTCAATTAGATCCTTCAAAATGTAATACAATTTGTCGTAACTGATACCACATTCAACAAAGATGTTGACAATAGCACCTTGTTTAACCAATTGTGCACCCTCATCGGATTCATAAACAAGACTGGTAACGAGCGGGAATAGTTCACCAACAGGGAAAACAAACTCAGAGCTGCTTAGCTTCTTCCCAACTTTTACCAGCGTAGTGCTCAGTAGATTGATATACTTCTCAGAGTTATTGCCAGACGTGAGCTCATCAACACCGGGATTCGTGATCAAATCAAAACCTTCCTCCGAGCTACCATAGATTGTTGCTTTAACACTTTCAAATAACAGAAGCCATCTGGATAAGATCTCCTCAGAATTACGGTAGTCTGAAACTTTGTAAATGTTCAGACATACATCATGATAGAAGAGAACATTTGCAAAGTCGTTAAACAACTCCGTGACAGTCAAGATCTTGCCGTTCAACTGATCAATCAACTCATCACGCTTGGATTCATTCAAACGCTTATCTTGAGATATAGCAACTAGCAGATCGTACTGTATATTGGAAGCTTCAAAGACTTCCTCAATCATGGATGACAACTGGATCACTTGTTGACGTTCTGTTGGTAGAGCTGTACAGTTACAGAACCCAATAGCTCTGGACAGATATTCGTTTCTTTGGGCTAGGGAGATATTGAAATCACTGATAGCCAATGTGTACGAAGTTACTGCTGCTTGGTAATGTTGCCCCTTCTTAGATTGGTAAATCCATAACAAATCAGAGATCGCCAACGATACGGATGATTTTTCTTCCAAATAACTGAGTACATATGGTGTATCAATCTCCAACAGTCTTTCACTCACATCATGAGCAATGAACCAATCATATAACTCATAATGGAACAACTTATCTTTGACTTTGAGCACTGTATCATAGGTCAAATCCCTTAGCTTTACCATATCCGTCACAGGACTTGGGCCCTCAACTCTTGGTTGGTCTTCGATTTCTTTAACGTTGGATTCAAGTGCTAGCTTGTCCACTTTCACAAGTAAATCAAAGACAACTTCGAAAATAGCCCTACGTTTTTCGTAATATTTCTTTCTCTCATCATTAGGCAACTTACCATCAGCAGCGTACTGTTGTGCTAAGTTACCTTGATCAATACCGGCAGAGATGTTCAGAGCAAATTTTACTGCACGTGGGAAATCATTCAAGCCAACCATGATGTCGATGGATTCTTTCAACTTCTCAATGCTCACCTCATTATTGATGGCCTCAAAGAGCTCTATAGCACGAGACAAATGGTAGTTCAAACCATCATAGTCTTTGAAACCAATTTCCTTTGCTTTACGTAAATGTTCGATAGCACGGAACCCAACAACGTCGTTTGCAGAGCAAAAAGTACCACAGCGATCTTGTAGTCCTTTAGCAATGTATTCAATGGATTCTCCGCGTGACATACTTCTGTTGATGATGGAAGACAATATTTCCTTGATGAGATTCTTGCATTCATCAGTTGGTGCAAATACATCCTTGAATTTCAACTTGGACAATGAAACTTGGACATCCAGTGATAAATATTTGAAAATATCCCTAAGTCGATCTCCGTTAACTTCATCAGAGCTTTCCTTGAGCAGAACGACAAAGAAGGAGAGTGCTTCCTTAATAGATGTGACAAGACGAACAGCAGAGTTGATGGCAATGTTCTCAGCCTGATTTGCAAATTCATCAGCTTTGTTGAAGTTTCTGTTGTTGAAGCTAGGTGGAATAAAACAAGCGATAGTGTTACCGTAAGTTTGGAAGAACTCGTTCAAAACGGCAGTTGAGCTGTGAAGAAATTCAAGGTTTCTTTCGTTCAAGTTAACCATGTGTAAGTATTCATTTTCAAAAATGGACCCCTTCAAGACTGAGCCATCCTTGTTAAACTTGATTTCTGGGGAAATCTTGAAGACATTTTCATCCCAAATATCACGGAAAAGTCTACCGATCAAAGCAATTATTCCATAAAATCTTGGACTTAGAACAACATTGCTGAATTGGAACATTTCTGTTTTGGGATTTAGTACACTAACAACCATGGAGTTGGGTTTCATGTATGATTTGTATTTTGGTGCAAAGTCAACAACATTTGGAATACCCAAGGTGAAAAAGCTGAAAGCATTGGATCTTATAGTCTTTGGTAAAGCAAATTTGCAAGTAACATAGAGGGCTGTAGATGCAGCTTCAAGAAGACCATATTTGGTAACAAAAGATGCCATCTCCTCTGAAAGACTTTCAAAGACCAAATCAGGAGTTCTATACTTGTAAATTTGGAGAGAAGTATTTGTAAGAACAGCAACTTCAAAGATGCCATTTGTGTACTGGGTAGCAAATTCATTTGCGTATCCACGAGGACGGTTGGTAGCGTTGAATGTTGGGGTGAGGGCCACGATCTGATGGACAGTACCTGAACACTCCAAGAATGTTGCATTTTCGACATACTGGTTATGGTACTTTAAGATGCCGTAATCTGGAACAGAAACAAACAACTTCTGCTCCTTATCTTCCTTCTCCACAACATCAAAAAAGATACCAGGTGAAATGATTTTACTGGACGGCTTAGAAGAAAGCAGAACACTGGATTTCTTCTGATAACTGAGCATGGTTGGTAATTCTTTTTGTCTTTTGACGCCTATAGAGAAGTCCTTCATGGCCTCTTGTTCTTTGAATTCCCTCTGCTCCGATGCAACATCTGCGAGTGATTTTTTAGTAGGTGGGAACTTAACGCTCTCCAATCTTAGAGCAGATACTGCATGCTCTGAACATGAGCCATTGAGGTAAAGACGACACCCTCCAACCGTAATTGCAACCAAAAACAAATCATCGTTCTCAGACTTTGTCACGACATTTATGCTCACAATCTTGAGATATTTATCTGCCAGTAATGGCGAAGCTTTTGCCGAGGATGTTCTTGCATAGGTTGATATATCAGTCGGTTTCACGATACGAGCCTCATGTACTGAACCCGAAGGTGAGATTTTGTAAGCTCGTATGATGGATTTATTCGACAGCGTGTAGAGCACACCTCTGGTGTTATCCAATTCCAATTGAACAACAGTTTCAGATGAGTTTTCCGAGGTGAAATATGTGTTTGCAATTGAATTGATCAAAGAAGCACCAGGGATGAGACTTGACACCGCAGATCTTGTCACACAACGTTTGTTACATTTTTTGTTAAACCAGTCTTCCGAGTTTGAGTACAAAAGCTCCCAAACGTGCAAACCGTCACCTTGACCTGTGAAGAATATTTGGCCAGTTTTATCATAGGAGACAAATTGATCAACCGACAGGCAATGTGTTGGGACAATCATTCCAGTGTTGTACAAATCCAAAGAGTCTTGTGTATAAGCCACAGCCAATACATGTATGTCGAATGGTGTAGCTATGAGTAATAGATGAGTGATGGCACTTGTGAATGTGTTTGGCTTTGGCTTAACAAGGTGAACTTTCAAGATTGTATGTTTGATGTCTTCAAAGCTTTGAAAATCCGACGTCTTTGTCAAGTTCCAAAGGATCAATTTATTATCTATGGTGACCCAGGCCCTTGAAATTTCAGGAAATAGACCCATTTTACCAGATGTTTCCACTTTGCTATATTGGCTAAGGATTTCATCAGGTATATTTATGATATCGGTTCTTTCAAAGGGACAGAAAGGACCCAATCCTTGTATCTCAGAACTATAATTATAGTTCACAGCAGTTCCGTGGAACGAGCTGTCATCCAAAACTGGAGAGATCTTATCACGTAGCAAAGAGGCGTCGACAAACTTACTGGCAAGTTGCAGCGGTTGTTCAATATTCGCATCTTGAACAACTAGATGATCATTCTCATTACCTGTTAGAGGGGGAGCAGCATCCACTGTTGGTACAGTTGATGTCAGAGATGTTGATGTGGGATAGAGTTCTTTGCTCCTGTATGGTGTTGCTGTATTAGCCACTGAATTGTAGTTAGTATTTGCTATTCCATTGCTACAAGCTCATAGACATCTCCTTCACAAGCAACCATCACGTGTGAACTAGAACGCCAATCAACCAAGATGATTCCAGCAATGTCATGCTTTGAACTGTATTGAATCTGTACATACTCTTATGAGCTCAACAACACTGGCGCGTGCAATGCTGTTTGGTAATCAACCAAGAAAGAAACACAAACTAGTTTGTTGTTTACATTTCACGAGAAAAGGTGAAGGAAAACTGGGAAAAAAAAAGTTCACCAAGCCCAATTCGGTAAAGCCCGAGGTTCTCAGCGTAGGGTAACACCTCGGAACTATTGTCTACTCAAAGGGGAACCATTCCTGAGGAAGAAATACTGTCACCTGGGTAACAGACTGTTGTTGCTTTTGTTTGTATGTTTTCATGTTTTCATCTTATTTTGTGTTGTTAAAGAGCTGTCCGTACTTGAATATGTGTACTCATTATGAGTTCATTTACGATGCTACTGTGAAAGGTATATGTAATCAGCTTAGCTTAGGGTCGTTGTAGATTGATGGTGATATCCAATGGATCCAACGAATGAACTTACAGAAAGGAATTTGAGAAGGTTACAATCGTCGCCCAAAAAGGTGCCCTTTTGTAGACTTTTGTAGACTTTTGCGCCAAATGTGAAACTGCTGTCAGGACACGAAAAGACACAGCAAAATGACGGCAAAATTGATCTATAACAGAAAAATGTCCGATATGGGCAATACAAGCTCGAAAATTAAAGCCCTTCCCACAGGGAGAATATTACGAAGAATACAACGGACATTTGACAACTCCTTATCTCGCTCGTATTGTCTACCATCGAATCTGGAAGGGAGCAAATGTCCTCCTCATCATGAGCCAGTGTACACCATCCACTCACCACGCGTCCTTCACGCAGCTGGAGGGCGTGTGTCTTTACCACCCTGCCCGGGCACGCTTGTAACAACGGAACACATCGCTGAGTCCATCGAGCATCTACCCTAAAAACACTCGTAAATTGTCGCATCTTGTCCTCCAGTTCATGTTGTTTCTCCCTAATCCACCAGCGTTTGGCCTTCAAATGTCAAGTCACGGGGACACGACTCGCGAGAATGACTGAGGAGTACACGAGCAAGACATGTACCGGCTACGGTTCAATAAAACACACACTGTCTCTGGCTGACCGCACCTTCCGCTGTGCCTAGTGCAGCCTGTTTGTCGACCGCGACATCAACAGTGCGCGCAACATCCTCTTCAAGTGTCTTGTCGCATCTCAATAGACACACCCACACACACAAGGAGTGCGCTCATGTTCCTCTAAAGAAATCACTACCCTTTTGCTGTCTCTAAAGAGCACAAAATGGCACATTTTCATGAACAATCAACATTTGAGATGAGTGGATACACCTTCCTATTGCAGTAATTTCCCTAATTCATCCATTACCATTAACAAAATACGTACATAGAACAAAAGAAAAAGAAAAAAACGCTCTGTTGAACCCTGTCGAATCGAACAGCCGCTATTTTCGTTACCTCGCTCCCGCTCGGGGAGACGCATTCTCGAGAGCGCTTGTGCTGGTTGCAGGCCCAAAAGAAAAATTTATTTACCCCCCTCCCCCTCATAGCGATAATTTCCTCTGTGTTTCCACCTCCAAAGGGAACAATACCGCTTATAAAATTTACCGAGCTTTTACACTCCAAGGGGAGAAACGAGGAGAACCACTCTACATATTAAGGAACGTAAAAGCACAAAACAATATTTATACCTATAGAGAGATTTCACAAGATGGATACTTCTCTGGAGAACAAGCCAGTTATTACAGCATTTGCTTCTCAATTTGATGGTGAGTGATTTGCTATTCCCCGGTGTACTTTTTTCTCTGTTCTCGTGGGAAGCAGTGTTTATGAGGGTCCTTTGTGTCATGACAGCGGATTAGCCCATGCCACTCTTCCAAAGGGACGAGGAGGAGTGTTTGACTGAGTGGCGAGTTTGACTAACACGTGGAATAGAAATCGACAAGGCTTTGTTTGACTATCGTTATAGAAGGCAAACCCAGTTACATCAGAGAGGGGCAGGCATGGGCATGAATGCGAACGCTTATACCTATGAGAACAACATGGGCATGAACAAGTCCAAGAATAAGTTCCCTGGTGGGCAGCGTCGTAAGAACAACAATAACAACAGTAACGTGGGTGCTGGATCCCACCGTCGTGTGCAAGCGGTTCCACAGCAACCAGTTTCGCCAGCGATGGCACAACAGCAGCAGCAACAAGGTTATGCTCTGATGGGCCAGAAGCATGTTGCGAACACTGCTGCTATGCAACAAGGAGGTGCATTTCATCACCAGTACGTTACTGCTGGCTCGCCAGACTTGTTCCCGCCAGAGGGAGTTATCACTCCAACGATGAGTAACAACTCCAATAATAATAAATTTGATGCGTTCTCTTTGAACTTATCATCCTCGATCTCGTCTGGTTCATCTTCATTCTCATCGTCGAACGGCGAGGTCGATAATATAATTGGTGGGTCTGGCTTTGCAAACACCAACCCTACATTTGGATCCATTTGGGATCCTATCGTTTCACAACAGGAGAAACCTTCACAGCATGCCAGATATGTTGGTTTCAACGAAACGACAAATGCTACTAATGCTACTAATGTTGTTAATGAACAGAAGTCCTTTGGATCGAGAACCACGGGTGAAAAGACCAATGGTTGGTTGAACATTTGGGGAAATGACATGTCAGTTTGGGGTTGAAAAACATCGGTATACGCCTTAGAACAAGGTGAGTATCAGATCAACTCAACAAGAAACTGATAAGTGTTATGACTTCCCCAGATGCTTGGATATTTCGAATGAAGTTTGGGAACTTCTATGCTTTTTCGGTGGTGATTTTACCACCACCTTGGTATGAAATTGGAGGGTTTTTACTGTGTATTTTGGGAAGAGTCCGACTGTGTTTAGCACAGTCATTTTTTATATGTTTTGTTGTTGTCTGATATATCTCTCTACGGTTTGAGGCACGTTGGAATGAATTCTTACACACCAATGAGAAGGTTTGCTCTTCTCATTGTCATGACGATTGAGTGTGTAAATATGGGTGTTGCTGTTTTTTTTTCTCTTCATGTCATGTTTATTTGATTTTTCAGTGGTGATGATGTGTGCTGATCTTCACTTTGTTTCACTGGAAATGGGGTATTATTCTTTTGTTTGTTTGTTTATTTGTTTTCCGTTCATTGATCTCAATGGTCACTTGGATATTTGGTATCTTATGTTCGTCTATATGTGCATGCATTGTTATGTTGATCTGTTTTTATATATATGTTGGAAGTGAAGGACAGAGAAAAGGTGGTTGGTTATATGTGCTTCTCTAATTTGACGGATAACTCATCTCAATTGGAGAAGCCATCGTGTTTATTACATAAAAAAGATTATTTCTTAAAGATTATTACAGGTTTTATTCGTTTTTTTATAAGAACACTAGTGACTGGCTCATCTCAACGTCTCTTTGGCTTTTGCTTAACCTCTTCGTCCTTTGTTGGGTGCAATCTTATAAGATTTGGGTACTGCGGATTGTTGAAGGAGTAACCTTTACTCCAATCATATGACACGGCAACGGCGTAGATGTTACCGTTTCTGTTGAATGCAGATGCAGTGATAGAACCATTCAGTGCTGGGAATCCCTTCAATCTATGCTTGGCATCTTTGTCCCAAAAGTTGAAGCACCCATCAGAGCCAGCAGTAGCAAAGGTACCATAGACTGGATGCGCACATATAGAATTTATGGCAAAAATATGACTCTCCGTTCTTCCACCTTTAGTCTCTTGCTTACGATGACACTTGAAAGTGAAACCTAACTGCGATTGTTCTGTATCGTCAATGTATTGGAAGGCACATCTCCCCTCAATGGAACCAAGGGCATAACCGTTACCTTGAGGATAGCAAGTAATGGATCTAGTTTGCCATTTCAGCGGTGATGTCACTGTCTTTCTAATCTGCTGTGGGTTGTTGAGGTCAATGATACAAACGTGTCTTTCAGCGGTACCGACAACGAGCAATTTCTGTGAGGAATCCATCGTATAGACCCTTTCTGGGAGTTGTATGGTGGCAATTGGATTAGGGGTTCTCGTATCCCAATATCTCAAAGTCTTGTCCCACGAACCACTCACAACAACAGGTGTATTTGTAGGACCACATTCAACAAATCTAACAGCCTTCACAGGAGCGTCGTGAGCACCAATCTGCTGTGCCTGACCACTTTGAATATCGTAGAGCTTAACCTGCTTATCGCATCCTCCCGATATCACCTTGGTACCATCACTCGTCCATCTTGTGGACAGAACGGGAGCATCGTGCTCATACATGGCACGTCCTTCAGTGGATCCATTGGCGCTCACCTCATATATACGGACCTTCTTGTCCCATGAAGAGGCGGAAAAGAACTCAGCTTGTGGTGAAAAGGAGATGTCAGATATCGAATCTTCCGGAGGGTTCTGCACTATAATATCGTTGGACAGATCAGCTTCAGTCGCCACTGTGGTACTCGTGGCAGTTGTGGACTTGTTGAAGAAGGACATGGTTGATCTGCTGCGTTCCCTATTCGTGTCCAAGTGTGATGAGATCGTTCCGTTTTCTCTTTGTTTACTTTCAAAGGGCAGCAAAAGGTAAGAGAAAAAAAACTTGACGAGCCTGTGTGTGTACCTACCGAATTCTGCCTGCTGGGGTGTGTACACAGTGAACAGTACGCAGATGGAAGCCGTTGAACGGTCAGGAAGAAGCGCTCTTCAGAGACCTGTGAGGAGAAATGTCACTGTGGAAGGGCATACCCATCGTGGAGTTCGACCCTGAGACCTCGGGCTCGTCATCCCAGTTTGAAAGGACTCGAAAGCATCACTACAAGAATCTGTCATCGATCAATTGGCCCCATGAATACGCCCGGCGGGAGGAGATCAAGTCGAGCGTGTCGAACCATTCTCCTAATTGGGGGTCATACTGGAGACTGAGCTCGACCTGGACCGTGATAATCGGTACAGGTGCGATGATTGGTGTTGTAACGGCGAATATCGACTACCTCTATAAGTGGCTCACGGACTTGAAAGGTGGTGTGTGTCAGAATGGATTCTATATGACTTACGGTAACTGCTGTAAAGGTATAAACGAGGGAGACATTTGTGAGGAATGGCGACAGTGGGACCAGGTCATTGGAATCAGTGGTAGCACCGCAGGCTCGTTTATATACAAGTATTTTCTGTTCATCGTGACCTCATTGATACTTGCTACGTGTTCCGCTTTACTCGTGAAAGACGCAGATTTCGTAAAGACAAGTGGTATCTCTGAAGTTAAGACAATCATCAGTGGTGTTGTAATAAAGGACTTCCTGAGTTTGAAAACCATGATGGTTAAGCTCATTGGGTTGACCCTCACAGTCAGTTCTAACCTGTGGGCAGGGAAAGAAGGTCCACTGGTTCATATCGCGTGCTGCTGTGCAGAGTTTGTGATGCATTTCTTCCCAGTGTTGGACGACAACGAGGCAACTAGACGTGAGTTGTTGCTGGCCGCCAGTGCCTCTGGTATATCTGTTGCATTCAATGCCCCAATCAGTGGTGTCATCTTCACTCTGGAACAATTGACGTCGTATTTTTACACTAGTACGAAGATGTGGACCTCTTTTATATGTGCAATGACGGGGACTATCCTGCTGAATTCATTCAAGGAAGGCATTGACGTCTACGTTACGATGGATAACCAATGGTTGGGGTTTGAACTCTTTGGGTTCATGATTCTGGGTATATCTGGTGGACTATTCGGTGCCATCTTCAACAAGATGAACATGAAATTTGCACAGTTCAGAAAAGACCATATAAGTTCGAGGGGAAGTCATTATGAAGTTGTTGAAGTTTTAGTGCTCTCAGTTGTGACTTCACTTGTCACGTATCCCTTGGTGTTTCCCAGACTTCCCCTCAACACACTAATCTCAAGGCTTTATAAAGACTGTGATGGTGTCGACGAAAACATCATGGGTGGGCTGTGTTCTGAACATCCTGGTTACAGCATTGCATTGTTGATATGTACCGGCATAACTGCATGCATATTGACTTCGTATACTTTTGGTACCATTGTGCCAGCTGGGGTATTGACGCCCGCATTAGCCATAGGAGCCATCTTTGGACGTCTGTTGGGCATCACCATGGAGAGTTTCCAAACGTCGTCACCTTTTCTCTCAGACCTGTGCAGAGAATCCTCAAACCTGTGTATTTCTCCAGGAGCATATGCTGTAGTTGGATCTGCTGCATTCTTAGCAGGTGTAACGAAGATGACGGTATGGGTGGTTGTTACTGTTTTTGAACTGACAGGTGCACTGACCTATGTTTTACCCATCATGATGACTGTCATCATTGCTCGGTGGACAAACGACCAATTTGACGAGATGAACTGTTATGATACATGGATCAGGTTTTTCCATTACCCATACCTCATGGAGCCCAATCGTCCTCTACCATTGACGAAAGCCATTGAAATCATAAAGCCTCTTGATGAAGTCAAGGCAATCTACCTGGAAGATGCCATGACATTAGACTTCCTGAATCGGCTGTTGTCACTGGAGTACCAAGGCTTGCCGATTCTTCGAAGCCGTACAAACCCACAACTTTACGGATGGGTTTCACTGGCAGAGCTGGCGTGCGAGCTCGAGTCGCTCCAACTCTCGCCAGACTACAACGGTGAAGCCAGGGCTTCCTTCGTTCCAACTCATGACGACGGCATCTGTCTACTAACGCATCTAGTGGAAAAGGACTATATAATCTTAAACCCACAACTGCCGCTACCTTCGCTGGTTGACGTCTTCTTCAACATGAAACCGCAGTTCGCGCTCTTCTGCCAGGACGGACTGTTTGTCGGTATCTTGACGCTCAAGGACATTTCAAGGGTGGTCCAAGGTGCAAAGGTCAAGCGCGTGATGCTATAGGAAACGCCACCTGGCGACTACATAGAACTATAATGAAGACCGTGTGTGTATTTTCTCCTTGTTCTAAAACATCCATTCACCCTCCCACACACCCATGCCCCTCCACCGAGGTCATGTACAGAATGCCCTTACACACCTTTGCACCCTCCTAGCCAAAGGGCTCCACAACCCACGGGGCGCTTGACAATTTGCCGAGCAGCGAGTTGTCCCTGATTGGTGTTTTTACTTGGGACATACAACGAGCGCTACCGGGTGCAAACACAGAGAACAAAAGGCCCAAGCGTGCGTGCGCCTGTACGGATCGGTAAACTGTCGCATATTCACAGTAGGCATAGTGGGCGAATTTTTTGTTTTTTTCAATTTTTCAACGATTTTTTTCTGTTGCCTAACTGATAAGGAACCTCGGGCGTCTACGCACAATGGCTGTGAATATGGTGCTTGGAGCATTTTCACCTACGTGGTCACCTCATATTTCCCCCATGGTCAAAGCCCTTCGTTGCTTTTCTGTGGTTGAACCACCTTTGGAATGGGCACCTGGCCAGGCACGGAAAGCCAAATGCCCATCCAGCGTAGCCAGAACAGTCGGTGATTATTAAAACTGTGATTTTCCCCACAGTAATCAGCTGTCTTTGCCAGCGGAAGTTTGCTCGATATTTTCCTGAGCAGAGGGGAGCTGTTGCGGGACCCAACTGCCTTTTTCGGTTAATCCCACAAGCTTTCCCACCGGGCAGTGGGCGAAAAGCACATACAGGCCACTGCTTTCGATTACGAAATTGTGGAACGTGATAGGCTGAAGGGCGAAACTCTGGCACGCTGTGCAAACCTTGCACATTGCTCCATTGTAGCAGTGACGTGACGTATATAACAGAGCCAATTTGCCCCAGATTGTCTCCAATTTACCTCATGCTTGGAATCTTTTCTCCTTCTCCTCTTTCCCAAAGAACCCTTATCGTGCTTTGTTATACGTAAAGTGCGAGCAATGTCTGACAACAAGAAGCCAACAGTCACAACCTCCCAAGGTTACCCAATCCCATACCCTTTTGAAACACAGAGGGTTGGTGAGCACGGGCCACTGCTGCTCCAGGATTTCAACTTGATTGACTCCCTTGCCCACTTTGACAGGGAGAGAATCCCAGAGAGAGTTGTCCACGCAAAGGGCTCAGGTGCGTACGGTTACTTTGAAGTTACCGATGACATCACGGACATTTGTGGGTCCGCGTTCCTCGACACCGTGGGGAAGAAGACCAAGACATTTGTGAGATTCTCTACTGTTGGTGGAGAAGCTGGTTCTGCCGACGCTGCGAGAGACCCAAGAGGGTTTGCCATCAAGTTCTACACCGAGGAGGGCAACTTGGACTGGGTGTACAACAACACGCCTGTGTTCTTCATCAGAGACCCGATCAAGTTTCCGCACTTCATTCACACGCAGAAGAGAAACCCTCAGACGCATTTGAAGGATGCCAACATGTTTTGGGACTACATGACCCAAAACCAGGAGTCTGTTCACCAGTTCATGGTTCTGTTCTCTGATAGGGGTACGCCAGCAACGTTCAGAAACATGAATGGTTACTCCGGCCACACTTACAAGTGGTCGAACAAGAAGGGCGAGTGGTTCTACGTGCAAGTGCACTTGATCACTGACCAAGGCATCAAGAACTTGAACAATGAGGAGGCTGGCAAGATGAGCGGTGAGAACCCAGACCATGCGCAGGAGGACCTGTTCAACTCCATTGCGAAGGGTGATTTCCCATCCTGGACTGTCTATATCCAAGTTATGACTGAGGCACAGGCCAAGGAGTTGCCATTCTCCGTGTTTGACTTGACCAAGGTGTGGTCCCACAAGGACTTCCCACTGCGTCGTGTCGGTAAACTGACTTTGAACGAGAACCCACAGAACTACTTTGCTGAGGTTGAACAGGCTGCCTTCTCCCCATCCCACACTGTCCCATACCAAGAGGCGTCTGCTGATCCGGTGTTGCAATCCCGTCTGTTCTCCTACCCAGATACTCACAGACACAGATTGGGTACAAACTACGCTCAAATCCCTGTCAACTGTCCTTACGCAAAGACTTTCAACCCAGTCATCCGTGACGGTCCTATGTGTATCAATGGTAACTACGGTGCAGCACCAAACTACATTTCCACCCTGGAGAACCCTGTTGAGTACAAGACCCAGTCCAACTTCAACTACCAGGCAAACCAGGAGACATGGCAAGGCCCTGCACTGCCATACCACTGGAAAGTTGGTGGTGACATCGACTATGCCCAAGCTAGGGCACTTTATCAAAATGTTTTGTCTAAACAACCTGGCCAACAGAGGAACTTGGCTCACAACATTGCAGTCCACGTTGCCAATGCTGTTCCTGTGATCCAGGACCGTGTCTTTGACGTTTTTGCTAAGGTTGATCCAAAATTGAGCAATGACATCAAGACTGAGGTTTTGCAGTTGTCTCCACGCTCAAAGGGCCAAGGTCAATGTCCTTACCAGAAGCTCTGAAGAGATTTTAATAACACAGTCTGCGACTAAACTATATATAATACGCTTATTCCATTCATTAAAATGTGCCATTTTCAGCCCCTTAGAAAGTCCAGGAGACAGCAAAAAGGTAGTGATTTCTTTAGAGGAGCATGAACGCACTCCATGTGTGTATGTGTGAGATGCGGTAAGACAGTTGATGAGGATGTTGCACTCGACGTTGACGTTGTGATCTTCGGGGTTCAGCTTAATGTTTCCAGTCATATTGATGTCACAATATATCTTTCACTAACAGTAGGATCTATAGTGTTCCATTCGCACGGTGTGGTTAGTGGAATAGTTGATATGATAATGACAATGAGAATAATCTTAATAACAATATAATTCAGGGATATAATAGATGAAGGTTAAGCACTAGGAACTTTATAAAGAAGAAATACGATGATTCAAGGAGTGCCTTTGAAATCATTGTAGAGAAACCACTGGAATCTTGAGGGTTCATGTTTCATCTTGTTTTCACATCCCAAAAAGGATGTGATAATTGTAAAATGTTACATTAAATCACAGCTGATATAACTCAGTGATAAATCCGGAAATCGAGTCCGGAGGTCGAATATCACAGCAAAGTGGTAGAGACACACTTCTTTCAGCTCTGTGAAACTACGCGTGGTGATCGGATGGTCTTCACTGGGCTCATGATGAGCACAACGTCTGATCCCCTCCGGACTAAATTGTAAACAATACGAGAGAGATAAGGAGCTTCTCAAATGTCCGTTGTATACTTCATAGAATTTTCCCTGTAGTAAGGGCTTGAACTGCCCATATCGGACAACTTTCCTGCCAGTAAATCAGTTTTGCTGTCATTTTGCTGTGCCTTTTCGTGCCCCGACCACAGCTTCACATTTGGCGCAAAAGTCTACAAAAGTCTACAAAAGGGCACCTTTTTGAGCAACAGTTGTGGCCCTTCTAATCGATAAGAGATATATCGGTAGTGAAGTAACAATAAAAAAGGTACGTGCGGGTCAATTGATGGATAAAAAGCACCATGAGACTGTTGCTATTAGCTTTGACATCCCTTGTGACAGGTGCGCTATCTACTCAAGAGCAAGCACGACTTAGTGAAGGCGAGGTGGACGGAAGGTGTGTTGTCTATGACCACTGTGGAAAGAGGTCTTTATTTGGGGCAGATTTGCCCTGTTCAGTTGATATCCCCCCGCAGCCGGTAACAGATGATGATATCCAAGAATTGGTTGGTATATGTGGTGATGAGTGGAATGGCAAGTCGCTTCTGTGCTGTAACACGTATCAGATAGACCAATTGAAGGAAAACCTCAAGAAAGTCGATACCCTGATATCGTCATGTCCCGCATGTCACAAGAATTTTAAGAACCTATTCTGTCAGTTTACATGTTCAAATCATCAAGCGGACTTTATCACAGTGACAAAGGCATCAACAAGTCTCGAAGGGAAACAGGTTGTCACGGAATTGGAATTCCGTATAGGTGAGCAAATGGCCAACGACTTTTACGATTCCTGTAAGGATATCAAGTTCTCTGCAACCAATGGATATGCTATGGACCTCATTGGTGGAGGAGCAAAGAACTATACACAGTTCTTGAAGTTTTTAGGTGATGAAAAGCCACAGCTCGGTGGCTCACCTTTCCAAATGAATTTCAAGTACTCAAACGGATCCTCGAGTGGTTCTCTCAATCAAAAGCAGTACAGCTGTGGTGACGGTATTTACAAGTGCTCATGCTCTGACTGTCCCAGCACTTGTCCCACACTGGACGATGTCAAACAAAGAACATGTAGAGTTGGTGTGCTACCGTGCTTTTCGTTCTCTGTGATTATAGTGTATTCCGTGTTGTTACTGGTGACGGTGGGGTTCTTTGGCTACAAGTTTAGCACTAAAAAGAGACAACTGTTACTGGAATCTCCATACCTGAGACCGGCAACTTTGGATTTACCTGAATTGGTGAACCGGAATGAGGTGTACTCTCTGAACAATGCACTGGAAATCCTTTTCGGAAGATTGGCATTCTACTGTTCGACATACCCTGCCACGGTACTTGCACTCACTATTGTTCTCACTGGTACACTATCCTCATGTATCTATTTCTTTGGTGAGCTGGAGAAAGACCCAATCAACCTATGGGTAAGCAATAGTGCTGAGGCTTACAAAGAGAAGCAGTTTTTCGATGATACTTTTGGGCCTTTCTATAGAGCTGAACAGATCTTTATTGTTGATGAAACTGGTGTCTTGAAAGACAAAACAGTTAAATGGTGGTCGAAAATCGAGCAAGAGATCACCAGTATTATTGTCGATGATATCACGTTGAATGATTTGTGTTTCAAGCCATTCGACGAATCTCCTTGTGTGATTGAATCCTTTACCCAGTACTTTGGCGGAGCCGTACCAAAGGATTGGAAATCAAAGCTACGTGGATGTACAGAATCACCAGTTACCTGCTTACCTCCTTTCCAACAGCCTTTGAATAAAGAGTTGTTGTTTGGTGGGTACAACGAAAGTGATATTCTAACTGCAAAGTCGATCTCCGTAACACTGTTGTTGAATAATCATGTTGGTGATAATGAAAATACGACTAAATGGGAAAATGCACTGGAGTCATATTTGCTGAAGTTGGAGCCCCCTGAAGGTGTAAGAATCAGCTTCAGTACAGAACCCTCTCTCGAATCAGAGCTTAACAAGTCGACGAATACGGATGCCAAGATCATTATTCTTTCTTATCTTGTGATGTTTATATACGCATCCATTTCCTTGGGTGGGAGCTTCAACATTTTGAAGACAAGATTCTCCTTGGGCTTGTCAGGTATAATCATCGTATTGTTATCAGTTACATCCTCTGCTGGATTCTTTTCTTTAATCGGGGTCAAATCAACTCTGATCATTGCAGAGGTCATCCCATTTCTGATACTCGCTGTTGGTGTTGATAATATCTTCCTGATAACACATGAGCTGAAAGGAATAAACTACTCGTATCCAAATGAGTCTGTGCCTTTCAGAATCTCCAAAGCCGTTGGTAGAATGGGTCCATCTATCTTGCTGTCTGCTACATCGCAGTTCTTAACGTTTTCACTCGCTGCATTTGTATCAATGCCTGCTGTGAGGAACTTTGCTATGTACTCTGCTGGTGCAGTCCTGTTCAACATCTTACTCCAACTTACGGCATTTATTTCCCTGCTTTCACTAGACCAGCAGAGAATAGACTCTGGAAGATTAGACTGCTTCCCATGCCTAAAAGTTCAAAGGTCCATCAGACTGGACGAAGTTTCCCAGCTGTTTGAATCGGAAAATGAATCTCATTTCTTTGATAAGCTATTGAGCAGTTTTGCTCCATGGATTCTGAGGAGAAAGGAGGTGATAGTGTCAATGTTTGTCTTATGGACCGGTGTCTCCTTATCATTCTTGCCCGGTATAAAATTCGGACTGGACCAGAGAATTGCTATCCCATCGGACTCTTATCTCATTGACTATTTCAACGATATTTACCAGTACTTAAACGTTGGTCCACCAGTTTACTTTGTTGTTGATGGCGTGAACGTGACGGATCGTAAAGTCCAGCAGACACTGTGCGGGAAGTTCACTACATGTGATGAATTCTCTCTGGCTAACATATTGCAGCAAGAGTTAAATCGCTCAGATATATCCACCATAAACCAACCAGTGGCATCATGGCTCGATGATTACTTGACGTTTTTGAACCCTCAACTCGACGACTGCTGTCGTTTCAAGAAAGGCACGGATGACATTTGTCCACCATATGCTCCGTCTCGTCAATGTGAGACATGCTTCTACAACAAAACCTGGGATTATTCGATGAAGGGATTCCCTCAAGGTGAAGAATTTATGAAGTACTTTGATATTTGGATCGACGCACCTAGTGACCCATGTCCACTCGGTGGTAAGGCTCCGTATTCCAGTGCAGTCTCGTATGATAATGAAAGCATATTGGCCTCTACTTTTAGAACTGGTCACGTACCTTTGAGATCTCAAGACGATTTCATTCATGCCTATAAGGAATCACTCAGAATAACGAAAGAGTTGAAACAAGCCACCGGACATGATGGCATCTTTGCATATTCTCCGTTTTATATCTTCTTTGTGCAGTATACGACGATCGTCAGGCTGACTTTCACGTTGATCTCTGTTGCACTAGCGATCATTCTCTTGAACTCAATCATACTTTTGGGCTCCGTCAGATCGTCATTGGCATTGGTGATTACCGTGGTGATGATCTTGATCAACATTGCTGGTGTCATGTCAATCTGGTCCATCTCACTGAACGCTGTGAGCCTTGTGAATCTGGTGATATGCATTGGACTCGCAGTAGAATTCTGTGTGCATATCACGAGGGCCTTCATTGTCTCTGATAAGGATAACAGGCTTTCCAACGTCAATTTCAGAGCATTCAACGCAATAACAGGTGTTGGGGGCGCCGTCCTCGGGGGAATCTGCACTACAAAGCTCATTGGTGTCATCGTCCTGGCCTTCACAAAGTCTAAGATCTTTGAAGTGTACTATTTTAGAATGTGGTTATCCCTTGTGGTTATCGCATCTCTTCACGCACTGGTGTTCTTGCCGGTGCTGCTCTCACTATTTGGAGGTAAACGCTATATATTCTCCGAGAACAGCTCTGGAATTGCTGATGATCTTGCTAACCGTTTAACTGAGCTGGCTCAATGAAATTGTTAGCTATTAGAGGAGAAGAAGTACATGGTTGATTCGTAAAGGTTGTGTTTTGTAGTAAATTGTTTTGATGATTGAGCCTAACACCCTGCCAGGCCGTGGCTCCCCGTCTAGGCTGGTGAAGAGAAAAAAAACCCCAAGAGATCGAGGTGAAAGTAAAAAATTCATCGGCAGTAAATTGAGTGGAAAGAGCCGACGTTGATTCGCTTAAAAACCAACAGCAACAGTCGTGAACTAAGGAAGTCCCCGATGTCTCTGATAAAGGCAGTGGGTGACTACGTGAAGGTGTGTCGAGAACACAATCTGTTTGTGACAAGACGGCCCCGAGTACAAATCAAACAACTTCTGCCATCGGCCAGCGCAGTACGAAGAGACGTACAGGCGTCGAAGAAAGAAGCACATGGTCATGAAGATCCAGAGCTTTGGAGACTTGTGAGTAAAGGCTCACAGTTTCAGCAAAATATAGTCAGGGAATCTTTGAAACCCCTTGGATTCCCAGTGCTTCGTCGAAGCCAGGAAAGACGTCAGAGAGATCACACACTGGATCATGTCCAATACACTGATGGGGAATCTACAGGCAAAGGGGAGTTCGAAAGGGGAATTATACACACTCTAGATGGACAAGCTGTGGCACAGATCATCTCGACCCTTGTGGAAATCACCCCGAGGGGAAATACACCAGACGATGTATCTCCTCTATCGACAAGAGATGCACATCTGATCTTTAAAGCACCCAAGCATGTCTACACAGAGATTCCACCTATACCCAATTTCTCTGAGTATCCGGAACAGTTTGAAGATTACATCTATAGAATCACACACTCCACTTTCCACCATAAACAGTCTTCCAAATTCAACGGGATTATACCCAAGATGCTGAGAAATATGTTCCACCCGTTGAATTCGAATACGTTGAACATACGTACTGCAGATTCGTTCAATTACGTTATACATTACTTTGTAAAGAAGTGGGACATCGCAACTTGTCGTGAGCTCATAGTCCAGATGAAAGCTGAACATAAGACGCCGACCACTACGACGTATAACATCATGCTGAATGCATTGAAGACTTTACAGAACATTATTCATAAGAGCGATCCATACAAGATTGCTCTCAAGCACCTAACGCAGATGAAACGATACAACTTGAAAGCAGATGTTGTCACGTGGAATATCGTCTTTAACATACTGAGAGACGATCCCAGTAAAGAGATCTTGGTACAAAAGAGGAAGGAGCTGAAAGTTCCCATTGATGACTACTTTACATATAGCTTGATGAAGCATTTCAGTAAAAGAGATGGCATAACTGGTAAGAAACTCCTTGAGGTAATGAGAGAACTTGGGTTCACATTGGATGGTCGACTGGTGACTCTTGTGGTGAAGATGCTGATCAGTGAGAGACAGTTCACGAACGCTTTGAAGATTGTTTCGTTTGCTCATGAGAATGAATCTATGAATTATCGTGCTAATAGAGAATCATTAAACAAATTTCTCGATGAATTTGCCAAGCTGAAAAGAGTGGATTTATGCATTGGTGCTATGAATACCTTCGAACGCAGCTTCGGTGTCACTGCTGATTATGATACATACACCCTCCTCTTCGAAGCTATGGCGAGGTCTGGATACTGGAAGGATAAGTACGCATTGTGCAAGGTTCTCTATCATCGTATGCTGAATGATCTGGGCGTTGTTGCTGGTGACTATTGGCTGAAAAAGCTAAGGTCCAGACTCAAATTTATACATGATTACGACGTCAACCTTTCATACCCTTTGACTGAAAAAGAGAGAAACTTGGAAAAGATCATCACCGAGTTTGCCTTTACTGAATGGAAAGTTCCTAGGTGGATGGACAACAATCGTACCGTGAAAGATAGAATAGCAAGTAAGAGAATGGGATACTATGCTTCCAGAGATTCAGTTGGAAAAAACCAAAGTCTGGAGATGAAGAACAGAAGAGAACTTTCTCGCAACTACAAAAGTAAAATTGATGCAATTTCCATTACGAAGGCCATGCAAAAGAGAATCCCATACGCCAAAGATCCTTTCAAAGAATTGAAGGAAGAGCTGAGTGAAAGAGGTATAATTTCGTCTTAGGTCTGGACATCCCCCCATGTACATAAAAATAGCTCCACTAATGAAGGTTATGATCATTCCTCACGTAGTGTACTGTGTTTATGAAACCACAGTAACTTGTGAGAGAAAACGGTTACATTATGTATTTTTGTCACATGTGTCTCAATGGCTGGCTCTTATGCTTAACCCTGGCAAGTTTCACATCGTATAACCAAACATTTTCTACTTTCTGCAATACGGACTAACGTCTTCGCCGATCATGGAGTATACCGATCTTCACATATTCTATAGTCATTTGATGTCTGTGGTCATGTCTCAAGGTCTGTTCCATGCTTCATGTACGGTACATCACCCTGATCCAAGGATTCACTTTGATCCAACTTTGGACCAACCTGTAGGTGACCGTGGAATCAAGTAAGTTTGTCTCCTCCTCGAACGTTTTCAATCTCCAATTGATCAATGTGGGATATACTATCAGATCATACAAATGCCAAACCTCAGGCGTCCAGAGGAGAATCTGGCAGAATTGTTCTCAGCATGTTCTTTCTGTGCCTTGTCGAATCCTAATGAGGATAAACCGGCACCCATTTCATTCATATCTGCTCGACACATGCAAAGCACATTACATATCCTCAAGGTTTGATTGTTTTGAAAACAACCCTGCAAGGACCTGCCAGCCTTCCCCGTGCAAGCTGCCTGACGCCCAGCCATCGTGAAAGGCCGCGCCTTTAGGGTTTGGAAAGCCGAGGGTGCTGCCCCCCCCCCTCCTCCGCCAAACTCTAGGCAGAAAAATTCGCGGTTTTCCTTCCAGCGCACATATGTGTTGCTAAGCGTGTACCTTTGAAAGGATCGTTCCAAGAGGTTAAAAGATAGAAGTTTGCTGGTGTTTAGTGTTCTATGCCTCTACAAAGGGGTCCATGTGATGTCTGACAGGATATTTCATCGCGTTCTCTGTTTAAAATTGACTTGTCATTCGTATTACGTAGGAAGAAAAAGACACTTCTAACAAGCGTTGCTCACTCCACCTAGGGAGTTCCAATGGCCACAGCAAGGTTAAAGTCGGAAAGAATACAGTTGGATACATGATGTGTGAGATATTTTAAAGCCATGGAGGCTTAAGCAACGTGTGATATAGATTAATCTCATGATATCGTTGTTATGTTTTAAGGTATCTCTCACTTCATCGGGAAATCCAACCAGCCCTTTGGGAAATACAGTCTCGGGGCCTCAGGACCTCATCGAACAGATCCTGCAGGAAGGCGCGTCAGCAAGTGCATATGATGGAATAATACAAGGGTGGTGTTCTAAATGAAACAATTTCGACCAGACAGGTATATAACTAGCTCATGTAACTCGTTCATAACGTGTCTCATGTCCACTGGGCCCTTTTATTCATCTTCCCCTTTCCCCTCTCTTTCCATTTCTTCAGTCAAACATCGAAGGAAACACCTAACAGGACCAACTCATTGTCGTTCATTATCACCGCCGCTAAGACCCATTCACTCTTTTATCTTTTACTACCGGTCTTTCTTTATTACTATTTTCCATTCCTGTTTTGAGTGCTGACTTCACATACCATTTCGCTAGGAATCATGCTTAACATTTTCACGCTCACGTTAGCCTTGATGGCTACAACTACATTGGCCTTTGATGCAAGCGCAAAGGACAACATGGTCCTCTATTGGGGTCAAGCATCTGCAGGTTCTCAAGAAAGACTATCATACTACTGTGAGTCCGATGCTGCAGATATTATGGTGCTTGCCTTCATGACTTCGTTCCCAGGTACAAATGATATCCCAAGTCTTAATTTCGCTTCTGCATGTACCGAAACATTCTCTGACGGACTCTTAAAATGCGATCAGATCGCTGAGGATATCAAGACTTGTCAAAGTTTGGGTAAAGTTGTCTTATTGTCTCTTGGTGGTGCTGTTGGATCATATGGCTTCTCTACTGATGACGAAGCTGTTGAATTTGCTGGTACTTTGTGGAACATGTTCGGTGAAGGTACAGCAGATGAGCGTCCATTTGGCGATGCTGTTATCGATGGTTTCGATTTTGATATTGAAAACAACAACCCAACAGGATATGCAGCACTGGCTACATCTCTTAAGGAGACTTATTTTACACAAGGTAGCAAGCAGTACTACCTGTCAGCTGCACCACAATGTTTCTACCCTGATGCTTCAGTCGGTAACTTGATGAACAATGCCTACATTGACTTTGCATTTGTTCAATTCTACAACAACTACTGCAATGTAAACGGTCAATTCAACTGGGACACATGGGTTCAGTGGGCTGAGACTGTTTCACCAAACTCCAATGTTAAACTCTTCCTTGGTTTGGCAGGGTCGGCAACAGCAGCAGGTTCTGGCTACGTTGGTATTGATACTGTCACATCTACTATTGATTCCATTTATAGCGATAGCCAATTTGGAGGTGTTATGCTATGGGATGCATCCCAAGGATTTACGAACGTTGTTTCTTCTGGTGACACTTTTGCTGAAAGTATTAAGGCTTATATGGTGAGTCTGGATTCGGAAACAACAACTTCCTCAGCCTCAACCAGTTCAACCAGTTCGACTAGCTCGACTAGTTCAACCAGCTCGACTAGTTCAACCACATCTGCTAGTTCAGCATCCTCAACCAGCTCAACA